GTGTTATTCATGTGAGAAGTCTGGTTGAGCTCAGTATTGTACTATGCACCTTGAAGCAGCAGACGTTACTCACGTAAGCCGAGACAGAGCAGCTACGGACCTTTCATATGTGCTTACGAGATCTACTGACTGCCTTTTAAGCCCATGCTTAAGTCCTAATAACTTTAACGAGATATAATCATGCATATAAGCAGAACTGAAGGATCTGAGATTCTTGCTGCCAGTTTTACCATTTCAGGGTAAGAAGCACCACAAAAAAATGCCACAGAAATGTAAACTGCAGACAAAAATATTTTGCCATGCCCTCATCTAATGTTGAAAAATCTGTATACAATTTGTCTTCGATTGTCCTTTTATTTTCTTCCATTTGAGTTGCAGTCCAGATCAGAGGAGAAAAATAAAAGTCCTGTTACAGCTACAGGTCAGTGCAAGATAAGAGGCTCAGTACAGTCACTTCCATGTACTGTACATACAGAAGTGGCCCAGACTGGTATTCAGTGTATCAGGCTAGAATCTAGGAAACAGCAGAGGTACTTGAATGTAAATGCATTACCAAAAGATAAAAATCTACATCACTGGATGAGTGTTGCTTGCCCAGCAATTTAAAGGTCATCTTGCATGCATTATTTTTCTCTTGGAATTAGAATAATAGTGAATACACAAAGAGTGTAAATCACAGCTTTTTAAAGATTTGACCTCTTAATTGGCCTGACCCACCAACTAACATATGAGACAGCAGAGTAGTACAGAATGGAAAAGAATGAAGAAATGCAACAGGAAAAAATGACTAAAGATGTGTTTAGAGGACTGATTTCAATTAAAAGCTGCTTTTGGTGTGAAAACAAGAAAAATCTTTTTAAGCATGAAAGAAAATGATAAAAATCCGTCTTTTGTACTATAAAAGGAAAAGTCAACAAAGAAATGCATTCTTTTGCAGGAATCCAGGCCTAGGATCAAAGAATTTACATATATTAAATTAACAAGATCCAAACTCCTCTACAACAAATATTTATACTGTAAAATATTACAGCCACATTCCTGCATCTCCTTACAATAATAATTCTTAAGGACACACTATGCTAGGGAGCATATAAAACAGCGCGTTTCTGTGGAGATGGAATGCTTCATTATCAGAGTACCAGCTTGTTCATAAATATTAAAAAATATGTTTTTGAAGTTTTTCAACAGGATTCTCATTGTTTACGTTGTCTCTCTACTACTGAAAACAATGTTCAGTGTGTACCTGTCCATAAGTGTCTCTCTCGCACTTTCTCCAACTGCAGAAAACCACTGCTAGTGACTGTAAAGGACAGCAATGTCTGTGCTGGTCATTCACTAAGCAAACAAGGGGACAAATACTCTGACCTTCCTTATGCAAGTAGTCATGCTTACTGTGATAGGGCTAATCTTGCTAGAAAGAACATGATTTGTCCCAAACTGTAGACAAGAGGGCTAAATTCCTAAAGTCCTGAATTATCAAGGCAGGGCTTAAATATGAGATAGTTCTTTTCTATTTGTATAGGTTTTATGCACCTCTTTATACCAGATTAGAGGTGGGAATGAGTATTCCAAGAGAAAAAGATCTTCTATAGTACTGTAAGAGGAATCACTGAAAGATTGCTCAAGACAAACTAACATTATAGATCTGATCTTCACTGGGTAAACATTAAACTCCTGCATATGTATTGATCTGTATTACAAAACAATAAAGCCAAGAGATCAAACTTTTTTGACCAGTGAGTCACAGAAATGACTTGGCTTCCCCAAAATATTTACCCCTCTGCTCTATCATAATTAAACATTGGGGGGGGGGGGGAAACACACACACACCCACCCAACAAACTAAAACAGAGAACAGGAAGATCCAGCTTGGTTGCAACAATATATCCATCTCATAAATTGGTCTTCAGAGCAGAACTCTCTATGGGAAAAGAGTGGATGTTTACCCTTGCATAAATAGCTTTTGCTAGATGATGAGATCACATGGAGGATACCATTGAAATATATAAAATAAACATAGTTAATATGCAGAAGGAGAACTCAAACATAATAATTACAAACATTTACTTATTTGAAGAAGAATTTTACCTAATTTGCTTCCTCTCAGTGTACAGACATCTAATTTAAGCCCCTTCTGTTTTACTGTATTTGCAAGAACCGGTGAACATAGAAATGTGCAGCCAGCCCGGGCCCTCAGGCCTGTGGATCAAGATGGCAGGCTGGCCTTGGTTCCCCCGGGGATAGCAGAGCCAGAAGGGTGATTGGACACAGTGACCTGTCTGCATGAGATGAGACAAAAACAGGAGGGCTGTAATGCTGATGAACTAACCTGTCACTCACAAGCTCAGGTCTGAAGGAAAAAAAAAGAGAAGAAGAAAAAAGAGGGGGAAAAAAAACAGAGAAGAAAAAGGTGCAGTAAAGCTTTTAGAAAACACAAAAGGTAGAAAAAATACAGCATAATTAGAATAACTAGATGATGCAGCTAATTACCGGTTCATTTAGGTTAGCTCAGGACATACAGGGAGGATGGCACAAGATCTAGCTAACTGCCTGTATAAAAAGGTAGAAGCAAAATACATTTGAAGGAATAACAACGGGTATTATGGTTCTGCGCGCAAGGAAGGATGCTGCAGACTACTGCTGACAGGGCTCAGAGTTACATTCCAAACGCTCCAGTTATGAATCAAAATCACAATGAGCAATGAGCTTCTAGATCTTGACGCGCTAGGCAAGGAGGTTGTTCTTCAGAGTACTTGGCTGTTTAATTGCATGCTTGAGGGAGGAAAAATCCAGAGGGAAGGTATACAAGCAATTTTGCACCTTGGAGCCAGTACACCCAGGTACTAGATGACGGTTAGCATTGTAGCACTGTCTACTGTTGCCGTCACCAGTGGGAGCCACAGTGGACCCTGGTGCTTTAGGGACTGAAGAAATCAAGATTAAAAAAAAAAAAAAAAGTGGAGAATGCATTTAATGATGAACAAGTACTTTGCACTGAAAACACCTTTAAATCAGCATGCTCCTGGTATTACTTTTGTGTCATACACCGACTAATGTTTGAACTACAAATGATTGCTAGTGTTTCTGATTTCTATTTGAGTAGAGATATACATGTATAGTTTGGATTTTTAATTACGTAAGTTCACAGTCCATTAGCAGCAGACGGGATGGAATTTAAGGCTACATCTGCAGGATTAGTCAAAACAAAATTTAGTTCTCATAGCTGGAGAAAAATACAATTCTGAAATAAAAAGGCCAAATGGTAAACATTTATTTAAAGCTTTTGATTTTTGGTGTCTGAAACTTAACAAAAACTCTTAAGAACTTTTTCTAAAACTGCAGTGACAGGAAATGAAATTGTCTTCTAAAATACACACGTACTGAATATGCACATCTTTATCTTTTATCAGTACTTAATATAGACTTAATGTCTGGAAAGATTTTATGGCACAGGGCTCAACTTTTGACAGTTATTTTCAAAAGAGTTATCAGCTCTGTATGGTAGCCCATAGAAAAAGTATATGTCTTTTATTTTCAGCAAAGTATGCTAATTATAGTGATTGCTTTTGTGATTCCCACGCTTTAAGTAACTCCTTCATTCAACTACTAGAAAATGCATATAATTTTTAATCAAAAAATAAATAAGTTTAATATTTTTAAACTTTTTTCTATCTTCACATACAGCTAGAGGAAAATTAGTTAAAATATACTTCCAAATTCTGTGGGTTTATGAACACATTGGGATGTGCACACTTATGCATATAATATCTATATCTGCAGACATATACAACTAAGAAGTGTTTGAAACACCTAACACATTCAGTTGAACAGTAATAATTTCCATAAATTCTGACATAAAAAACCTAAAGTTAAATGGCTAAATGTATTTCTCTTTGAAGTGCATGCCCCTGTTATTGATTTTTAGGAAATGAAATACAATAACACACAATATAAACATTTTTCCAGACATTCACTGAACTTTGTTAATTAATGAAATACGGAATGTTACACACATACAAAAACCATACTCATACCCTTTCCATCATGAAAAACACCTTCCTAGACCTAACAAGCCTTAAATATAAAATAGCTAACTTATACCTTCTTCCATGATGAAGAAAAAGTTACATTACAGAGATATTACAAGCTTTGAAATTTATCAAGCTTTAAGGGTACATTTTTGCCAACTGTACTTGTGCAAAACCTTGCCATTGTATTTGCTTTAGATTTTTAAATGTATTATTTCCTTAACATTGAACAAATTTACACAAAAAGGTAATTAACTTTCTCTAAAATACATATTTTCATGCAATGTAATACTGGCAAATATGCCCCACTTTTTAGGTATAAGCCTGTCTAATACAAAGCTGTTAATGTTTGGGAGATTTTTAATAAATTTTTTTATCCTGTTTTTAAAATATTTAAAGCAATAGAAGTCTGTGGTAAACATAGTATTACATATCTGACATTTTCCGCCTAGAAATGCATTACTGTGTAAGATGGTATTAATAAACCATGTGCTTTTAGGGACTTCTGTGCTTTGCCATAATTTAGTTGAAACCAGTGTGTAGGATGTGTATTTTTCCACCATTGCATCAACATATAGGGAACACAAATACTATGTCATCAGTTTAGCAGCATGCGTTCACTACACTGGAAACATATGCAAAAAACACGAACTTTTGAGAGTTCAAAAAATACCCTTTGCCAGAGAGACTGATTTACAAGTCAGTGGCTAATTAGAAAGTGTTGAGCACTTAAAATTTTGTTAGAAAAACAGACACCCTCTTCCGACTCTGACTGCATACATAGGAAAACAACCCTCCCTGTACAACAGGACAAAATAATTTTTTCCCCCACTTCAGATTATTATTTGAAGCAAATGAAAAGACAATGATTCTTCTCTCTTCCAGCTACGCTCAAAACAGCACAGTTAAAACACACACAAAAACTACAGACTTATCAGAAATCACAAAACAGAAAGAGAAGGACTCACTGACCCATTTGGAAGACAAAGACGACAAAACGGAAAAGCTCTAAAAATCAGCTTGTGAGGCCTTTGAGAGATATTCTTCTGGCATTTCATCACAGCAGCCCCAGACCAGTTCACTTCCCTGGATACAGGGAGGGAGAACTAAATAGAGCTGTTTATTAAAGCTGTTGTGCTGGATTGCATTAGGAAGCACGAGCAGACCACCTGGACCTTTCAGATTGTGGCAGTGTTTAATTTGCAGGCTGCCCCTCTGCAGCAGCAAGGACTACTACATTTACCAAGCTCAATCACACATTATCTGGGTTAGGAGTAAAAGAAGAAGAAAGGACGAAAGAAAAAAATCCACAGCATTGTAGTAAAGGAATACAGTCAACATAGAAATAATGAACAGCATTAGAAATAGAAAGCAACTCCCCAGCAAACATAACACTTTCACTCTTCACTTCTTCTACTTCAGCAGATTTAAACAAAATACAAATGTAAAATAATAAATAGATTGATTTGGCAAAGCACAGACTAAATATGTAAAACGGGTTTATTAGAAGAAAAGCATGGTATTTTAGGTTTAACTAGTGATTCCCTGGCCAGATTATTGTGGCTCTTTTGCCTTTCTCACTTTCACTACTATACTTGCTGGTAGCTGAAGATACAGATAGAAAGATGGTACTGTAAATATGAATTATGTGAATCATATGGTTAGACCCTTGTGAAAAAAAAAAAATAAAAGGGGAGTTGAGAAATGGCTGACTCCATACCTGACCAATTACAGCTTGCATGGTCCCTGTGTCCTGCTGAGCTGAAAGATCGCAATCCATCATATGTAGTCTTTGAAAAGGAGAATGGGGGTTTCTGGCATGCATCTGTCAATCAACTTCTGCACTCACAACCATCACCAAAAGCAAGGGAAAAAAAGTCAAGCTGCTCCACCAAATAGGATGAAACAGTCATGTGACCTTCAGCACACTCACACACATACATACTTCCATATAACGTATGAATTTTCTGCAGATATGAAATGACATTGACAAATACCCAATACCAAGTAAATAAAGTGAGACAAACAGCTACTCACCAAAGACAAAACACTTGCTGTAATCTTCAGTCTAAAGATTTAATAAACCTAAAAGGTATTTTAAACTGAGGCTTTTCTTTTGAGCCTAAACTTTTCAGATAAGATGAGATAATTTTATATATGCAGACAGTGGTCAGAACTTTAACCCTTTGTGTCCTCTCACTGCCTCTGCTTTTTATTTCCCCTGTATGTACTTCCACTTTATGGCTGTTTGAGTTCCTGATTTTTTTTCTTTGAGTTTCTTTTGTCAAAGTGAACAGTCTTGTGTTGCCTTCTTTATGCATGTACAAATAAAGAGAACTTGACAGAAGAATATTACCAACAGGAAAGAAAAGAGCGGGGGCTGAGAAACCTGTATCTGTACTCACAACCCAAAATGTGGCTCATTGCTTTACTCCATCAAAAGTCAAATGTTTTCCTTATTGGAAATATATATTTAAGTATTAGTTTATGCAAGCTGTGATGAGCACTCAAAATATAAAATATTCAGACTATGTAAATCCTACTTAGAGAATCCTTTCCGTTTTGAAGGTTAGCAGAGTTTTGGTTCATTCACTGCTCCACTGAACTGACATAAAATGTTGTTACTTATGATGGCAAACATTACCATTTTTTCTAATGGAAGCAGTTTGTTTCATACATCTTCCCCTCTGAGTTAAGATTTGCAAGAATTTCCAAGACTATTTTTTCTTCTTGTCAAAATATATCAGCCACTTGTCTCCAAAAAACTCAGTGTCGTGAACAACACGCTACAACATTGATTGCTGATATATTATTGGCCAGTGATTGCTGAAGGGTGACATTAATGTAAGCTGGTAGCATTTTAACCCTTTGAAGATCAATACAGTCCTCTGGCAATATATTAGAATAACAGCCCATATCATTTTTGCAGTATTACGTCTTTGTATAAATATTAGTGCATCTTTCTGCCCGCCTAAAATTCCATTTATGTTACTACTGCAAACAAGCTGGTTTTCAAAGACTGTCAGAAGAGAAAGCACAGAAGAAAGCAGCCTAGTCTCCGAGCTTAATATTATGCACCCTTTCCATTTTAAATAAGTTTCTGACAGTATTTTGAGTTATCTCTTTTTTTTTTTTAAGTTATTGACAGTATTGATCTTAGCATGTGATAGCCGAATATATGTGAGAATATCAGCAGTATTCCATTTTTAGGAATAGCACTTACCAGTGTAACATTTCTTACAATTTAGTTTTAAGACCCAACACCCAGGAATGGTTAGGATGTGATGGAGCATGTGTGGGTGTGTGTAGGTGGCTGGGTGGGCATAGATGGACAAGGAATATCAGTTTTACTTTGCATTCTTACAGGTTTTATAAGGCATTTTTTTTAATTGTTAAACAAAAAGTTAAAAAGGGAAGTGTTGGTACTTATTTCAAAAATCAGATGCAATAAAGGAATTCACACTTTGATGCACAGGGAACCAGAAGTGCTTCTAGGCCAATAAGATATTTTAACTTAAAAAGTTTTTCAATTCAAGCATTTTCAGAGATGTACAACATTGACACTGAAACTCTCCCTCTGGGTCGAGGAAGGAGCACTTGAAATGGTGCTTCCACCATCTGCTCTGCATTTCACTTATAATTAAAAGGCACCATTTGTGCTGAAATCTTATCTGCTTCTTACTCATGGAAGAAAACATGCTGAACTAATACCTTGGGTTGCCTTTCGGTCAGTTGAGAATTTACTGCAGTTTCATCCTTCAGGACAACTCTGTGGAAAAAAAAAAAAAAAAGCAGTGTTGTGAAGGCCATAATCATCATCCATATCATCATGAGCAATCCCAAACAGAGTTGGTGAATGGGGAAGTAAGTAGAGGAGATTGCCTGAGCTGTCTCCAGGAAAACAGATACGCTGAAGGCAAATATCATACAGGAATTTGAAAGGAAAAAGATGTTTATGGTTTCTTTTCAGGAGGAGCCTTTTTGAGTGGAAATGCACACCTTTCAAATTTCCTTAACTTCTCTAAGCAACCAAAGCTCACAATTACTTCTTTGGGGATTTTATTAGCAAAGGGACTCACCTAGACATACATTCCAGCATACAATAGAGCACAGTGCTGTGCACACACAAATCTGCTGCACCCTTACACGCCAACAAAAAAATCCAGACACTCTTGTACAGATGCAGAGAACGGCAAGACCCGCTTTTTCAGCCAGAATGAGATCTGTTGCCACTCTTTTTACAAAGATTAATCTACTCTCTCAGGAAATGCCAATCTGTTATGTAAAAGAAAAGCAGCAACAAATGTTCAGCCAATATCTCTGCATGCAGATAAGTCACTGGCATCACTGTTAACACTAACAGCAGGGTCTCTTCTACTACCCGTCCAGCTGCCCTTATCTCTGCAGAGAAGGAGGCCTTTTCCATCAGCCAAATCTGCCTCATCCTGCAGGGACTGCACAGCCGCTTTGCCCTGCAGGCTATCCACCCTTGGGCACCGTCTCAGCATCACTGCTCATCCTTTGGGCCTTCCACTGGCCATTTCCTAAGAGTTGTCCGTCAAATACTGTCTTTTTTACTTACTGAGAACTATGTCCCTGCTCCTCCTCTTCCCTCTTTCTTTTCTTCTCGAAAGGTGATTTAGCTCCCCTGTCAGCAATGAAAAAGGTGAGGGAACAAGGTAGCTTGTAATCTGCCACAGGGCAGATTTAGGTGAAGAGCAGAGTGCAAAGGGGAACTTGGCAGGCTCTAATGTTGCCAACTTGAGAAAAATTGTTGAAGGACAGAATGACAAATACCGCTTCCCAACTAGCTGTGCTGTATCCATAATAGAGATATTCTGTTCTCCTTTAAAACTTGTTATCACTGGATCTCCCTCCATCTACCCGAAAGGAAAACTGTTATGGTGCCACAGTAGTATACTGCAGCAAAATCTTCTTGTATGTCACTCTAGCAAGTGGCACAATGGGCCAGATTTGCGCTGTTGGACCTAAAACTATTGAGAGAAGGGTAATGGTCAAGGCTTACACATAGAGGAAGCTAAATTATGGCTTCACTTGTAAGAGCACAAATTCAAGGGGGTACAAAGTCTCTGTGCCAACTTGCACACTGGATCCTGAAATCCAGGAAGAGTGCTAGTCCCCAGCAACACCAAATGTTTTCTTTTTCAGAATCCATTTGCTTCTTCTGTGATCAATTGTTTGCAGTATACAATAAAAACATTGAAACACTACTTTTGACTAGAAAAATATGCTTGAGTTTAGCTCTTAGCTACAAAGCTAAGAACTCAGAACAGCATTACAGTATTTAACGCTCTCTCTTTCTTCTTCTAAGATAATATATATTTCCTTGGTGAGGAAATTAAGAGTTAGAGCTGTACAGCAATGCAAGACCTAAGTACTTCAGTGCTAAAATGTGTTAAAATATATATTTTTTTCTGCTTGGTATTTATTATTATATTTCCTTGCCTTAAAACCTGCAAGCCTTGTGATGAACAGAACACAGGGTTTTACTATAGTACCTTCACGTAGTTGCTCAAATGCCATAGCAGAACTTGCAGCAGTTTTGTTTAGCGAGTCAAGTAAGAGATCCTGCTGCTTTTTACAGCATTGGTACACTAGGGGGACTATTTTTCCTCTTTCTGGAGTGATGGACGCAAAGCACTGTCAGAGCAAGCTGTTGTACCTCACAGCTGTACTGGCCCTTACTTACTGATGCTGAACAGGTTAAACATGCAAAGCTTGGTCTTCCATGCTTTGGAAATAAACAAGCCTAATTCTAAGCTGTCAATGGCTCTTCTGCCCTCTTTCTCTCTCTCGCTCTCCATCTCTGCCAAACAGACTCTAATATTGCATTTCACATCTTGATTTTGATGGATATGTGAGTGGGCTTTCTGTATAAGCAAAATTCTGCTCGTTTATGCTCACTTCAAGAGAATTGTTGTGTATTCAGAGGTCCTAGTAGAATACAGTCTCTCTCTGTGTGTTTAAGTCCATTCTGGTCAATCATTTTTGCTTTTTGAGGAGAATTTTTTAAAAGAAAAAAAAAAAAG